AGGAGAGTGTTATATATTGGGGTTTAATAATTTAATTAAGCAAATAAGTACGTTCAAGCACTACACAAAAAAAAAACAAAGCAAAAAGGCAACCAACATACTTGACTTTTGGCAATTCAAACGACCTGTAGACCGCACGAGGAAAGTGTCCTTTTCTCCCCACCAAAAAAAAAACCCTAATTTTAATGAACAAGCCGAGAAAGGCAACATATAGACAAATTTTAATTCGACATAGATGGAGGAGATAAATTCATATATAAAAAATTGCCTAATAAATACAAAATTAAATTTACGAATGAATGGGTATGATTATTTGATTGATGCTTTTCATCCTTAGCTCCCATAGACTCATCTGAATTTGTTTTTTATGTAGAGTTGTGGTTAAGATTTATATTTCCTTTTGCCTATTCGAGTTATTGAGATTAATTGATTTATGACATGGTATTAGAGTTGGTTTGATAATGATGCTACCTTTTCAAACCGTCAAGACCCCGAATATTAACAGTTGCCTTGAAAAGCATTTTGACGTAAATGATATGATCAAACTTCAAGCCCATAAATTGACTTTCGTTTGAAGGGGCGTGTAAGGAACTAAGTAAGTACAAACTGGTTTATGATTCTTATTTTTGTTTGAATTTGAAAATTTATACTCAGTATATAACTCTTATGTAAAGTTTAGGTCTTCTTTAGTATTAAATCTAAAAGATATATATTTTTATCACTAAATAAACAATTCATTAGAGACAGAGTGCTTTTGCAAAAAAAAAAAATGGGTAGATTGGAATCTCTGGCTTTCAGGACTGTGGAGGCTAGCTAGCTAGCAATGATGGCAATGCAATTGGGATTTGGGAAGTTTCCCCTTTGAGGAAAACCATAAACAAGGTTGGCTGGAACTTGGGAAGTTTGAACAGAGAAAAAGTTTGGCACAAGGGAGGGACAGATGGTATTCACTTGAAATTGTCGAACAGAGAACTTTCCATGCAAACCATCAACATTTTCATATACTGCTGCAATTGTTTATGGAACGAGTGGACAGTACAAAAGGAATCTCTATTACTTTATTTCTCTACTAAAGAATCCCTATCATTTTGGAGTATTCTGAGCTGGTGGGGAGGTTTGATTATGATATCATGAGCTATACTTTCCAGCCGACTTGTTGTTTTCATATGGTTCTGATAAAAAAAAATCGCGTTAAGCTATAGGGAAAGGGGAGCATACCGTAGGAATAGAGGAGATTGTATTTTGATACAGTCAGTTCATGGTATGTATGTACGAGTGTCGAGTGATATGCACTAAACGGTTTTGAGCTAGACATCTTCGAATGGAAATAAGAAAGGTTGCATGGGGTTGATTGGAATGTGTTTTATCATATGGCTGAGACCGTAAATTTGGGAATTTTAGTAATCCAGTTTATTATGAATCAAATCAAATTTGGGTAATATCACTTTTGGGATAGATTCATATCCGACATTTTAGTTTGAATCAAAATTAGACCTATCATATTGGGTACCCAATTCTAATGAGGTGTTGGTTTTTCTTTGTTCTAAAACAAAAACACACGGACACTGAAGGAGTGAATTATATTGGGTTGAATGCAGCAAGTGAGCTAGGACGATTGATATTGTTTTCTTGTGTGTAGAATCATTATCGCGATCCAAATAGACTCATTTAGATCCGACCCAAATAGATTGGAAGCCAACTCCAAAACTATTAAGAGTTTATATCAGTCTGTTTGAATCAAACTCAATTTCATTATAAATCTTATTTGTCAAGCCAAATCCAAAACTATTAAGAGTGTACGTCAGTTTATTTGGGTCAAACTCAATACCAATATAAATATAAACCATAACAATTAAGTGTAATTACCAAATGAGTCTATTGATTGTATTCCTAATAATATATAAGTGTTTTCCTTCAAAAAAATCAAACATATGGTATCTTTTTGAATGTACCGTAGCAAAAGGAGCCATGATAAGCATCAACCCTTTAGTTTATTTATTCTTTTTTGTCTGTTTTAACTTATTCATTTCTGGCCAGCCCAAGTGCCCAATCTGCTAATAAAATTGCTGTACCATTGCTGTCCTTCAATGCCCCGATGCCGTGGCTATGAAAAAAATGGAGGGCTCCAGAGAACTACCACTTTTCTCAAGGACTATTGGCGCAGTCAATGTGACGGTTCAATTTGATGTCCAAAACAACAACAATTTGTAATGTCAAAAAAGTCTAGAGAGTCACTTTCTTTTGCTTTTGAAATCAATGGTGAAATGCATTCATGTACATGAATGGCATTGTCAACGAAGGTCAAAAACCACGAGGCAGGCAAAATGCTAAGTACCCGACGCAAACAAATTCTTCAGCCGTCACTTAGAAAATGACATCTCTTCCCAACCCACGAAAGAAAATGATGAGGACATCACTTCTATCCTAAACTTGAGTCTTACCACCTCCACAGCAAGTATAATCACGAAACTAACGGTACAGATCGTCTAGTAGTTGAAAATTAACGACAAGGTAACAAAAGTCAAAATATGTCATATATATATATATATATATATGGTGGCTACTTCGGCGCACTCACTTTTTTGGGTGCACTCAGTGCACCCACTCTAAAAGTGTCCATATTACATCAAATTTTGAACTTTAATTAGTACTCTCAATCTAATATGATGATATGACATAGAATCATAACAAATCAATCTATTACCCTAACCCCTTAACCTTCAATTTTGAATCCCAATTCAAAACCCCAAATTTTAAACCTAATCCCTAACCCTAAATCCCTAAATCCTAAATCCTTCAAATTAAAGTAAATTTTGAATGAATTTTTTTTCAAATTCATGTGCTTCTTGTTCATAATATCATAAGCAACAATCGATACCGTTTTGACATGAATCATATGCTCAGAATGACAATTATGAGGCGGGTGCACTGAGTGCACCCAAAAAAGTGGGTGCACCGAATACGCCACCATATATATATATATATATATATATATATATATATATAACGAGTAAAGAGAAGAACTTTCTAACCACCAAACGGATCGGATAATACGATTCTCTTAGCCAGCTTGCAAGAGGGTGGATTCCGTGACCCACCTTGGCTCGGGATTAGTACACCAAAAATAACTATATTTGTACACAATTTATAATACTCGAACCCAACACCACATGTTCAATAGTTTTACTTGTCTACCAACATATTGAACAAAAGATTTGTGGCACACATTAACCTTGCGTATTATGTAAATAACTCTAAATTTTACATAAAACTGTGTCTCTATTTATCTATTTTGAGTTTACTAATTCTTCATTTAGTATCGAATTCTTCATCCTCAAATGAAAATAAGTTGATCATTCAAATTTTAATAAAATTTATATTATAAGTTTTGGATCATAATCACTAGTGAATTACTACAAACAATATAGTTGATCTTCCTTGATGATCCTGGTACATTTTGAGAAAGGAACATTGCATAATTTATAGGTTATTGTGACAGATTTGTTCCAACAAAAATACTTGTATGCTTCAAAAACTCAGGTTTGACGAGACAACTGCATTAAAAAGGGACAAAAAAAAACTTAACAATATAAGACAGTAAAGAACACATAGATTTACGTGGTTCACTAACACGACGTGTGTTAGTTAATCTATGGACAAGAGATACTAGTTTCACTATACTTATAAAGACACAGGTTACATAGGAATGAGAAAATATATATAGCACATTCTCCATATAGTTTAACCCTAATCCAATATGTAAAGTACAAAGGTTACAAATTAGACACAAAACTAATAATCATGTCAAAGGCTTTTCCTTTCTGCGTCCAAATACACAAAAGGTAAAAATCGGTAAGATCCGACTAATCTCTATTATTTGTCATAGTTGGACATCTGTTATTGTAGGAAAGATCCTCGAATCAAAGGAAGATCAAGAGAAGAACAGTACGAAGGTAGGTAATATAAAATATAAATAGAAGGAAATGTCAAGGGAAAAGAACTAAATGTGACAAAGCAATTCTATGCAAAACAAGATCAAACGCTCTGTGATTAGCTATAGGTGTGAGAAATGATAGGTGATCATTCTCTGTATAGCTTAAGTTATTGTGAACTAATGTAGTTTTTCTCTTTAGCGTGAACTCTTATGAGGAAGGAGAGAAAATGTTATATTGTTTTATTCTTGTCCAGTGTTTGAATTCCTGAATTCCAGCCAAATGAACCAACTTGGAGTTAGATTGGAATAAGGTCAAATCAAAACCTAAACACTATAGGTAAGCCACCTTTGAGCCGCACGAGACGTAAACAATAGATTGAACTCGGTTAACAAAAACATCCTGTATGTGTTCTATCTCTTTACATTACCTTACTCTATGGTGTGAATGAGTTGATACGGGTTCTCTAATCTCTACGAGATAGCCAAACAGCAAGTCCTTGAAAAGCCCAACACCCCAGATCCAATTAGTAACCCGCTCGCATTTCTTTCATTATATCTTTATTACTAGATATATCTGTGTGGTTGTGTTTTACACATCCGACTTCCAATCAACATAGATAAATCCGACTTCAAATCATAACAACCGTTCGTATTACTCGATAAGCATTCACAATAGATTTTCTAATCATGCCCTACCTACTAAAAGAAATTTGCTACACAACGCAACCTTAGAATCCCACTTATTACTTAGCCTTCTAATATGAGTATAGCAGCCAAATAACCAAAATCTTAGCCCATACCATCCAATTTTCAATTCAAGAGCTCCACCCTCCCTACATTTGCAGTTATAATATTATCAATCATCACCCCCATTAGAAAAATCATATACTACACTACCACTCTTCCCCTTCCATTTTCCCTCCCTTTTCCTGATCCGCCTATAAATACCACCTCCCATTTCAATTCAAACTCTTCAAACCATTCCCATCAAATCAAACTTGCCTCTGCAAACTTACCCACAAAAGCAATCCTTCTCCTCTCTCAAATCACCCTCTGATCAGCCACCATGGGCAAAACCTTGTTGTACCAATGTTCCATTCTCCTCACACTCCTCGCCTTCCACTCAATCCTGCTCACCACAGAATGCAGGCAGCTCCGTTCCATCACAAACCCACCTCCGGCCGCCACACTTTCCGATCACGAAGAAGGATCGAAGGAAGACTTCCGGCCCACCGCCCCCGGCGTCAGCCCCGGCGTCGGACACCCCAATTCGAATGACAGCTCCACGAGCCCCACCGGAGCAAACGAACAGAGCACCAAATCCGACGACGCCGAAACCGGAACTAGCAATGCACCGGGTGAATCGGACAATTCGGGCGGGAAGGACGATTTCCGGCCGACTGCGCCAGGGTACAGCCCCGGGGTCGGACATTCGGTCGGGTTGCAGAACAGAGGAGGCGATGAAAAAACAGGGGAGGTGATTATGGCGGCAGAGAGCTACAACAACGACGATTTCAGGCCGACCGCCCCTGGGTTCAGCCCCGGAGTCGGGCACGCCGAGCTGACCGACGACAGCGTCGACGCTTTCCGGCCTACGAAGCCCGGGCAGAGCCCCGGAGTCGGCCATGCGTCGGAGTTCGAAAACAGGGGTGTGAAAAACAGAGGGTACTCTGTTTCGGGAGAAACAGAGGATTTTAAACCCACGCAGCCTGGACACAGCCCCGGAGTTGGACATGCCGCCGTGTTTACGAGCAGCAAAAGGAATGGCAGGAAGCGAGAACCGACTCAGCCTGGGCACAGCCCTGGAGTCGGGCATGTCGCCGCCATGAATGATGATGGAGAAAGTAGTACTACTGCTCCTCCTTCGCAGAAGAACGATTTCAGGCCTACTCAGCCTGGACACAGCCCTGGGATCGGGCACAAGAACTAGGGGGGAAGAAGTATATGATCATAGAAAATTAGACATTGATGATCAAACTATGCACATTTGGATGATTATTAGTTATTATTAATTATTGATTCTCTATTGTAGTATGGTAGTGTTTGAGGTAAAAAGGGGGGGAGATATAGTTAATCCCTAATTAGTCTGATGCATATTATATCTATGTGTATTAAATTTTTAGTGTTCATTTTTCTCTATTAGAAAACCAAAATTTGTACTTGCTCCTTGAGTAAAATTATAAAAAAAGATATATTGGCATTTTGCACCAAGTTGTGTATTTTCTTTCTTATCTCTTTCACTTTTAAAAAAATAGCATATGTAATAGAGTGATTGTATTACAAAAAATAACAATTGAGTGGTGTTGATACACCCCTTTTCAGTATTTTGACCATCCTATAGTTTAATGGGTTCCTTCCACTCTTATTAAAAAAAAAAACCTATTGTATGCCCTAAATAGAAATTAGAAAGCAACTTTGTATACAGATTTTTCTACTCTAGCCTAGAGGATTTTTAGCTTTTGGGTTTGTTTATTGGGAAATCAAGGTTGGTTGTCCTAATGAATTGGGCCAAAATGTTGGCTAGATTAGCAAAGCAGTAATAGCAATTTCTTTATTGAAGGGGGTAAATAGTAATATTTACATGCTGTTAGTGTTATTACTAGGTAAAAAATATCGTCTAAATTTTTGTTTGCAAGTACAGAAGCGGGTGATCAATAATTTGAGTTATGTGAAGTGGTATCTGACTAATATTTGAATTTGTAAAGTTGTGTGAAGAGATTGAATACATATTAGATGGTTTGATTTTTGACATGATATGAAATTTTTTGATGTCTGACATCTAGTTTATACTTTAAAAAATTATAATTATACTTAAATATTGGAACTCTTCATATCAGTGGTTTATTTTTCAAATAATAGATTAACTCTTTTTTATATGCATTGTACACAAAAGACATGTGGATTTTTCTTTTTGATTTATGATGACATGTAAAACTCATTATTTCACAATAGAATGATTTTTAGTTTTTACTAGGCTCCAAAACCTGTGGTACATTGTTGACGCGTCTTAAAAATATATTGCATGAGGTTTGTTGTACATAATCACAACAAATTAAAAACATATATCACCTTTATAAGAAAATAAAAAAAAATAATTGGGGTCTGCTTTAATAAACTTGTGGTCTGGTTGAATGAATTTGTGATATGCGTTATGAGGACTTTGTTATACTTCAGGAAACTTTCTTGTGTGCTTTAAGAAACTTGTGGTATGTTTTATAATTTCTGGTATGCTATATAATTTTTCTAGTATGCTTTATGAATTTTACGGTGTGTTGAGGTTCTGATATGATTTATAAGCTTTTTGGTATGCTTTTATGATATTAGTGGTGTATTTTTATTGTGTTTATAATTAGGATTGAAAAATCGTAATGTACCGGCGGTTTGATCAGAAAAACCTTCTACTAGAGGCTAAATCTGTTGGCGATATTTAGCGGTATGAAATGGTCGAACCATTGTTAAACACACGATTTCATCATAAAATATCCTACTGCTGACTTTTCTGGTATGATTTTACAATCCTTGGTTTCTATGTTGTGTTTTGTGGTATCCCAATTAATGCATAAGACACACGTGTTTGCCCTCCCCCAATTATTTTTAATAATGACAAGCGAGCTTTCCTTTATAAATACGAATTAATTGTGGTCAACACATTCGAAAGAAAAAGTCATCAATATCAAATTTCCATATTGGTTGGAGCAAGTGTTACGAGTGAATCAGTGTAATCTGTAAAGAAATCATTCCAAGTTACTAGGAAATAGAGGAGAAATGGTATCAAAGGAGTGATGAATCATTGCATACAAATACAACAACATAGCAGTTGCAGAGAAGGAAACAAATCCAGTTTGGATTCTAAGGCCCTGTTTAGTATTATTTTGTTGCTGTTGTGATTGTGTTGAAATTGTGACAACAGAAACACAACAACAACAGAAGAAAAACATAAAACAACAAACGTGTTTAGTTTGTAACTTCTAGAATTATTAACAACAAACACAACGCGTTTAGTTCCTCATATCTAGCATTGGCAACTCTCGGGTTAGAATCTAGATCAATTCTCTGTTCATCTAAAAAAAAAATGGATCAGGAAGGGCATCCCTTTCGATTTATCTCCTCGCCTCCCTTCCTCTCCTCTCCGCCACCGTCAACGAACTGTAGAAGAAGAAAAACAAGAAAAAGCTTCCTTTAGCGGCGGTAATTCCGAGTCCAATCGGAGACGACCCACTCCGTGGCCCCTCTCCTGTGGATGGGAAAGATCTGGAGGCGAATCACTCCTTGCCGCCTCTCCTGTCGGGATGGAGAAGAAGCCGGCCAAACCCGGAGAAGTCGTCGCTTCTGTCACCGCCTGCCATGTCTCTGCCCTGCCGGGAAGAAGTCTGGGTCTTCGCTGGGATAGGGATTTGAGAGAAAATCCCAGGGATTGCGAGAAGGGAGAGGAAGAAAGCCTAGCATTTCGCTGGGATTGGGTCGTCGCTGGGATTGGGTCGCCGTTGAGATTTCGCACAAAGGAAGAGGAAGAAAGAACTTTGTGCGATGGTAAAGAAAGAAGGAAGAAGAAAGGATTAAGGAATAAAAAAATAAAAAAATTGGCAATTAATGAAATCCCACCAAAAACCCGTGTGCAACGCTGGGGTGAAACGGATCCAAAGCCACAATTTGACGTTTTGTTGATTTGGGCCTTGTTGTCCAAATCTGTTGGGCAACAGGAAAAAGAAACCCAACTAAACACGTTTTATTTTCTTGGTTTCCACAATTTTTAAAAGCACAACAGAAAACAAAAACAAACAACAATACTAAACAGGGCCTAAGGCTTGGAAGAGATCGTGTAGGGCTCAAGGATAAAAGCCCAACGGGTTGCCCCCCCCCCCCCCCCCCCCCCCCCCCCGACCCAAACGAGTTAAAAGTTCACCAAAGCCAAAACCCAAAGCCATAGAAAGTAAAAAAAAAAAAAAAAAAACAAGTGGAAAACTACCTTTGCACTAAGAAAAGCTTCGAAGAAATGCACACCGTCGTCCCATTGGCAAGCACATTGAATAGCATGCAACTAGGGAATCTCCAGCAGGCTGGCATGCATATATATATATATATATATATATATGCATAGAAGAAAGCCCATGGAACTTACACTGACAGCAAGAGACAGCCTAAAAATTTTGCACTAAAAGCATTAACAATCCTTGAAAAGTTTCTTATTTCCATAATCTTAAACACCTGGGGGAAGACAGAATTAAGAAGACTTCCCAACTTTTGAAAAGCAGTTAGCATGCACATACCCTATGAAACATGTACACATTCATATATAGTAGCTAGCATATATAACTACTAGTGACAGTCATTAAAGGCAGTATAGCTGCTTAAACATTGCTTAATCACACTATTAAGAAAACCCTATATATAAATAAATGATATCATAGACCTCCAGATCCAAGAGGGTACTACCAAAAAAAAAGATCCCTTCCCCGCCTGACCATTCTCCCATGTGAAATTCCATCCTGACTCAGGTTGGCAGCCGCAATATTTTTCAGCCAGGCAAAGTCTCGTGCGATTCACTCTGGTAACCACAAATGTCTTGTAGTACATCTACTACTGGCTAGTACTATATAGCCTATACATTTAAATGGTTCCTACCTAGATTCGGAGATTCCCACAAAACAAAATTGAATTTAGTATAATCATAGCCCGTGTGTGTGTGTGTTGGGACAAATTTGACGAGCTACTACAATAAGTGCAAGTTGTGACAATAGAATAAGATCAAGCCTAACTAACACCACCCTATGTCCATGTGCAGCTAGCCCTTCAGATCTGTCTTTTGGCCCAAAAAATTGATTGAGGGCAGAGGTGTCGAGAATCGGATGGTTTTAATAACTCGAATTATTATCGAGACATGTTCAATTATGAATCTTATATATATACACATATATGGTGGCTTCTATCGTACCTTGGGTAAAATCTAGGGTACGACATACCCTGAGTAAGAAGACGCTATCTGGACCTCGAATTAATCAGATTTCTCGGCACGATCTTGACGTTGTAGAACATTTTTCGTTTCCGGGTTGCTCGGGTTTGATCTAAACCGGCCGGTATACCGCAGTATGATGATGGTCCAACCGCTAACCACCGCGCGGCTGTCACAATCTTTTGCCTCCTTTAATCATACCGTTTCAGTTTTGGCTATTAATGTATCGGTTTTCAACGGTTGAACCGACGGTGCGGTTTTTTTAATCTTCAGTTTAAACCAAGGGCTTAATTGTAAGTTTGGTCACTCGAATTGCTATAAAATTTCACGTTTGCCACTCAAATTAATTTATTCCATTTATAGTCACTCGAATTAGTTGAACAGTTCAAGTTCGGTCACTCTCCGTTAACCTCCGTTAACTTTGACTGACGTGGCGGTCAATTCTGACAGTTGACCGTTAAATGTGTGACGTGGCAAATAAAAAATAATTAAAAAATTAAAATTAAAATTTTGGAAATTACACATCATTATAAAAAAAATTATAAAAAATGAAAAAAATTACACATCCTGATTGAACTCCTCATTCGTCTACGGGACACAAAATCCGCCTTCCGATCCAAACCCGTCTGCAAGCAATGGAACTCCCTCGTCTGACTCCATCAGCGTCCGCGCTGCGGTGCATCTGCAGGTTCTGCTCCCGCTGGAACCCTTGGTTGCAGATCTCGCACACGTACCTGTCCGACTCCATCAGCGTCCGCGCCGACAGCGACACCACCTCCGCATCTGGATCTGCCAAGATCCATAACCAACACACAATTCAATAAATTACATTATTGAAATTCAGCAAGGATGAATGATTGATGGAGTGAAACGGGTGGATCATGTGGCGTGTGGGAGGTACCTGGAGTGCCGGCGGGGCGGCGCTTGCGCTTGTTGGTGGCGGCGGTGGCGGTTTCATTTTCTAAGGAGGAGGGAGGGGA